TTATTAATTTTTTGTTATATTATTAACTTATTAATCTATTTATTAGAGTTTTGCAAAAGTAACAAATCAAATTTCAGGAAGTCTTTACCCAACACTTTTTGTTGCAATACTAGTTTATAATATTTTGTTAAATAAATTAGAAAAATTTTGTGATTTACCTTATATATATAAAGAAAATTTTTTATCATTTTTTTTTTAATATACTTTGATTTAACTACAATTCACCACTATATCCCAGCAGCAATACCAAGCTTGCAAGGTAGCTGTTTCAATATTACAGTTTACAGTTACATGATTATCAATTTTATTGCTGATTTTATTGTTAATTTTATTATCAATTTTATTATCAATTTTTTTATTGATTTTTTTATTAATTTTTTTATCGATTTACTGCTGGTTTTTTACAACTACTAGCTACTTTTCTATAAGCAACAAGATATATATTCCTACTGTTTCATTTATTTTTTCCACTGGTATTTTTGAAATTGTTTTTTAACTCATATTTAATTTTATTGATATTTAATTTTATCAATTAATATTTATATACAGGCATACCTCTATATATCAAGGCAAGTATCGATATCAGCAAGTGTTTATGTTTTAAAATAAACTTTTATCTAATTGCAATTCTAATACAGGAAACACAATGCAAGCAACAAAAAAACAGAAACAAGCTAAATTGAATAGTAAGCAGGTGAAAAAATTGTTAATAAAATCGATTGATTATATCCAACAATTTTTTGTTGTTTAAATGTACAAGTGGCCTTCAATAGGAAACCTTGGACTAAAATTTGTATGTTTAACTTCAAAAAATTTTGCTGCTAGCTATTGGGACTGTAACGATGTTGCCTCCAGTAAGAAACCCTGAACTAATTCATCGAAACTTGTTTCGATTAGCTAGTAAGCATGCAAAAATTATATTGCTATGCTGCTGTTGCCTCCAGTGGGAAATCTTGGACTCAGGCAGAGCTATTGATATAATATATAGCAAGCTCTATATTGATGCAAGTTAATATTTATAACTTGTAGCTGAAAAATCGATTGATCGATTTAATACAGGTGTAAGATTGTACATATATATATATAGCTAACTCTTCTATTTTATATATATAGAAACCTACATTGCTGCACTGCATTTTTTATGGTCATTAAAAAATAAAAAATCTGAAGAGTACAATGATTTTTTACAAGATCCAATTTCTAAATTAGCAACTGTTCACCTTGCTTTATCTGACTTTGGCATCGATTCTTTTTCAAATGTAAATATAATAAATAAACATGCTTTATATTTGTTAATTATTAATGTTTTTAAATAAATAGGAAAACTGGTGAAAAGAATTTTTGCGATTTTTCAAGTTCTATAATGACAATGATAAAGAAATTGCAGCTACTTTGAAAGCAGATATTAACAGTGCAAAAAAAAAAACAATAAAACACATAAAAATTTTTTAAGTTGACATGTTATTTAAATATATAAAAGTTAAATTACAGATATTTTAACTACAGATTAGAAAAAATTTATTAACAAGCAAGTACTTTGCCAATGTCCAAAAAGTTGAAACGATATATCTAGAGCTTTTACCTGATTATAGCGAAAAAAAAATAAAAGAAAAATGGATGTATGAAAAAACCAACCCTTTACCTTCCCATATTCAAGCAGCCAGTGCTGAATCTTGTCTTTCTTTTGTTGTAAAAAAAAAAATAAGGAAATTATAATTCGTGACAAAGCTACTGACAAAGTACCGTATACCACTGCATACAATACCCCCTCCAAATACTACCCCCTACTAATAATACCGGGTAGTATTCAAGAAAATTGTTGCTTGATAATTGATTACTACCCAGGTATATTAATATAATAATAAGTAAGACAATATTATTTTGAATTTTATAATAATGATATACCCTGCCACTAATACTACCCCTCTTTTAGTAAAATACTCCTCGGGTATTATATGCAGTGGTATATGGTACTATGGCTTATGAGTATTGTATTTAAGTATTTGAAGTTTATTTTGTATACTGATTTAATAAGTTTGTTAATTTTTGCTTGTAAGTGGTTGAATGCAGATTTGTTGAGAAAGGTCATTGTGAGAAAATAATCAAATTTTCCCATAATTACTCATTTACATATTTGCTATTTGATTTAATCTTTTCAATTTTGTTTGTTTAGTTCTTGTAGGATTGTATATATTGATTGGCTGAAGGCTTTTTTATTGACTTTGAGAAAGTTTCTAGGAGAAATAAGTATTCCTAGGTATTTTATGCTTTGATGTAGTTTTAAAACTTGTATTTAATTATTGCTAAATTTTATGATATTGAATATTTTCTATTTAGTCTTGACATTGCTTATGATTTGGGTTTTGTTTTTATTACAAGTAATGTTATTAATTGAAAAGAATTGATTGAAAATGTTTAGGAGATTTTTCATTCTTAATTTGGAATCTGTAATAAGTACAAGATCTTCCATATAAGCTAGCATGTTGGATGCAATATAGTTTTGGATAGGTTGTTATTTGGATAACTATATAATTAGAGAGTCGTAGAATATTACCTATAGTATAGAAGATTGTGTTTTGTCTTGTTCGATGCCATTGTTGACCATAAAGGAGTTGGTTGTTTTAGAAGAAGTATTGATGGATACTTTTCTGTTGCTGAGCAGATTTATAAACAATTTGATAGTGAGACTTGGGTAATTGATTCTTTCGAGTAATTTTTTAATTGTAGGGATAGGTGCTGAATCGAAAGCTTTTGTTATGTCTAAAAATGCAAATTAGAATTTCTTATTATTTGTATTAGTGGCTTATAGGGCAGAGTTTACTATTGATAATAGTTCCATGATATTTTGGTTGGACAGCTCAGTGCAATAATATTATATTATTAAAAAATAAATAAAACAAATCAAGTTATAAAAATTTTTTAATTTTTTAATTTATTGTTTTATATATTTTAATTTAATTTAATTTTTTTTTGTTTTTATTTAAATATAAAATTTAAAAATTTAAACTTGGTTTTGATTCACACTAAATTTAAACCAATTTAAATTTTATTAAATCAAAAATTTTAAAAACTAATCTAATTTAAATTAAAATCTATTTATAGATTAATTAATTGTTGTTTAAAATTTCAAGTTCAATTTTTATAAGTTTTTATAAGTTTATATTATCTAATTTTTAAAATTATAAAGATATTAATTTTACTATAAATTATTTGTTTTATTTTTTATTTTTTTTAATAAAGTTTGATTTGTTTTTTTGATAAAAAATAAAAAAATTTTAATTAGTTTTAAATAAAAGTTATTTATTTTATTTAAAAAAAATATTAATTGCTTACTTTTTTAGTATTTTCTGATTTTTTAAAAATTAAATAAATGGTTTAATTTTTTTTGATATTGATTTTATCTATAATTATAATATATAATTTTAAAATTTATTTTAATATATTTATATAATGATTAGTAATAGTATTGGTTGGTTTAATAGTTTAACAATGTTAAATTCAATAAAAGAATATAGAAAATAAATAATATTTTATTTTATTTATAATTTCTATTTTTTCAAGTTATCAATAAATAAAAAAATAGTAAAAATATATTACTTTAAAAAAAAGAATTGAAGTTTATTTAAAAAGAAAATTTTTTATTTAATTTTATAAAGCCAAAATTTAAATTTATTTTAAAAGTTTCAAAATAATTAATTTTAAAAGAAATTATTGTAATTACTTTTGTAATTTATTATATTACATATTGATATGGCTATAAAATAAAGTTTTCCTCTTTACCCGAAAAAAGTAAATAAAATAAAATAAAGTTTTCTTTTTAAAAAATAAAAAATACTCAAACACAAAACAAAATAGTTGTTACATATTGTCAAAATAATTATTTCTATAATATATTGTTAAAAATATTTAACTACTTTAGATACAGTATTTCATTGTTATTCGTGCTGTGAGATGCGATAAAAATTAACTTCTTGTGTTATTAAACTTATGCAGTTGGTTCTTTTGCTATTTTTTTTCTATAAAACAAAGATTTAACAACAAGAGGTATATATTAACATTAGGTTCGTTTTCTTTCTTGTATGATTAATATTTGATCGCAAGTTTTACCAATTGTTACACACGACAGACAATTTAAACTCGAACAATGACTCGCGTCCAAAAATTAAAGGATTATATCATAATACAACGAATGAATATGTATTAATGTGATGCACATAATATATTGACAACATTTCGGAAGACTTTCATGTCTTAGTATACCACAAAGACATAATCATAATATTTATTATTGAGTTCCTATTCTTTTAAACATAAAGAATCTTTTACAACCAATTACTCATTACATTCTCAATGTATGATATCTTCGTCACACAGGGGAATATGCACGTAGGTAAGGATCGTCCTACCCCAAAAGGATCATAAGCTAATATGGTGTAATGATGCACAAAATGTTATAAGTCTAAATTAAAAACGTATATATATATGCTAATGCCCGCTTGAATAAACCATCTATTACTAAACAAGATGAGTAGTCGAAATTCCCAACGCAAACTGACTTTCAATGTCGGAGAAAACTATGAAGTCATGGATGCTGTGGGCGAAGGAGCATACGGAGTGGTTTGGTAATTTTCTTTGAAATTATTTTCTCAAAGGTTGAATAGCTGACAGGAGTATCTGAAACAAAAGGCGTTTTTTTTTTCTCTAGTTCTGCAACCCACAAACCCACCGGTCAGAAGGTCGCAATCAAAAAGATAACTCCTTTTGATCATTCGATGTTTTGCCTGAGAACATTAAGAGAAATTAAGCTCCTACGATACTTCAATCATGAAAACGTAAGTATCCAAAAGATCAGCATTGAATTGTATTTTTATGTCAATTAAAGTTGAATAAAAAATTTTCCCTTTTAGATTATTGCCATTTTAGACATCGTCAAGCCCGAAAACTTGGAGAAATTCACTGAAGTGTACGAGAAAAATATGTTTTGGCAAAATTCTTTACTTAACAAAATAAACTTAGTTTCATTGGTTAAAATTTATCAGCTATCTTATTCAAGAACTTATGGAAACTGATATGCATCGTGTCATTCGCACCCAAGATTTGAGTGATGATCATTGTCAGTATTTTATCTATCAAACTCTACGTGCTCTTAAAGCCTTGCATTCTGCGAACGTTCTTCACCGAGATCTTAAACCTAGCAATTTATTGCTCAATGCAAATTGCGATTTGAAGGTGAGCTCATTAATCTTTGATATTATCTCATCGTTATACGACTGTGTGAACATCTCTTGGTTTACATATATTGATAAATAGGTTTGTGATTTTGGGCTTGCCAGAAGCGCAAACTCCAGTGACGAACACAGTGGCTTTATGACAGAATACGTTGCCACTCGATGGTATCGTGCCCCTGAAATCATGTTAACATTCAAGGAGTACACCAAAGCCATCGATGTATGGTCCGTTGGTTGTATCTTGGCTGAAATGTTAAATGGGAAACCGTTATTTCCTGGAAGAGATTGTATCCACCATATCACACGTTCTTTTTATTGATTTGCTTGATAATATTTTTCGTTTTTATCATCACCAGTGAGCTTTGTTCCTTGACTCTAGCTGCCCCTTTTGTGATGAACAGATCACCATCAATTAAGTTTAATTCTTGAGGTGCTTGGTACGCCAAACATGGAAGATTTTTATGCCATCAAGAGTCGGAGGGTACGGCATCGTAATTGAAGGAGGTTCATGTGGAATATAAAATGATTCGTTTCTAACTTAAAAAAAAAATTATGTTTTTTTTCTTAGGCTCGAGATTATATTCGCTCTCTTCCGTTCAAGAAGAAGGTCCCCTTCACCAGTATGTTCCCTCAAGCGAATCCATTAGCCCTTGATATGTTGGAGAAATTATTAGCTTTTAATCCTGTCAAGAGAATTACCGTCGAGGAGGCTTTGAGGCATCCTTACTTGGAGCCTGTGAGTAAACAACTTGTTTTCTCTTGTTCTCTTACATAATATTTTCATATATTTATTCTTTCCATCCTTTATAAATGCAATCGAAGTATCATGATCCCGATGACGAACCATCTGCTGATCCAATTCCAGAATCCTTTTTCGACTTTGATAAACACAAGGATTCCCTGTCAAAAGAACAGTTAAAACGTATGCACCAATGTTTTTCTGCGTGTTGATTATTGAACCTTCTTTTAATCTCTTTTGCTTACGAAATAGAACTCATCTACGACGAAATCATGCGTCCAATATAATACAACAACACGAATCAAAAGATGGAATCACAACTATTATTAGTGTATAATGGTTGTAATGAAACAAAGATTATAATTATAGTGTACAAAAGATATTTGCTATATATTTTCTTCATAAAACTTGATTGTTGAATAGACTAATGATTTTTTTCTATTGTAAAATTGACGTTCACCGATTAAATTACGCATTTTTTCTTTGATAATTTTGTTGTGGAATAGTAGTACGGTGCAATCGTCCTAGTTGTATTAACAAGGGTAGTAGTATAGCTAAAACGTGACAATAACTTATTCATATATACAGTATATAAATAAATAGAATAAAAAATATATATTTATCAACCAACCCGAGTTAATACCGTTCATCTACCTTTTCTGTTTTACTAAATGACAAAATAATAAAATCTATCTCTATTATTATTATATAAAAATCCTATAAAAAATCATATATGTTCAAAGATTTTATTTTATTGTTTAAATTTTAATGTTACTATTTAAAGTTTTAAACTTTTAAATTATATTAATACATTATGCTGAATAAAGTAAAAATATACTTTTTTATTATTACAAGTTATTATTATTATCATTTTGATTAAAGTGCTATTTAATTGTAAAAATTTCATATTATTTATTAAAGTTTTAATAACAAAAAAAAGAATATTTAAATAATAAAAAATATTAATTAAAACATTACTTGCTTTATTAAATAATAAAAAAAAAACATTAATTTATATTAAAATTATAAATTAAATAGTGTTTAATTTTTTTTTTTTTACTTCAAATCAGGCTACAAGATATTTAGTTTATTAATCTTATTTGCCAGAAAACAATTATACATTTGTATTAAGAATACTATAATAAAACTAAACTATTATATTGTATGCAGCAAATCTGTTGTAAGCTTAAGGTCTCTAAATATAATAATAGGGAATAAAAATATTGCTCAATTTTATTCTAATACTTTCACTAGTCTAAAATATTATAGCCAGCTCTCATTTAAGACTGTTACTTCTATATTATTGCTATGGTCTTATGGAAATAAAAAATTTTTATTTTTTAAAAAAAAAAAAAAATATATATATATATTTGAAAAGTTTGTTCTAATAAATAAAAACTTGTCAATATCAATTTCAGTTTATTGGAATAAATCCTTTACCATCATTTGCAGCTAGACAAATCATTTAATTTCCATTATTTTATTATTAACTGTGAATGTTCAAAATATTTATAACAAAACTTATAGTAGAAATTATTACTTATAAAATTACTTCTTTAACTAAAGAATATATTTCATCACCTTGCTCTTTCTACTGTTACCAATTACATTATCAGATATAAGTTACACAAGATGAAATATGTGAAATTTACATGTCTTGTTTATATTTTTTGCTATATGCAGATCAACCAATTCAAATTTCAAGCCAATCATCATTTGAAGATTTTGATGTAATCAAAAATTTAGAATCAAACTGAGGTAGGCAAAATTTTTCAAAAAAACCAAAAAAATATATATATGTTTAAAAAAATAAGAGAGGGACTTAAGAAAGATAAAAGAAGAGTTTTAAAAGTTAGTAATGGTTTTTTCCAGAGTCTTGAACTTCTGAAGAAAAGAAAAAGGATGTTTTTTCAACAAGTTTTTTTTCCTAACAAAACATTCTTGCCTTTGACTTTATAGATAGGTTTTTTTTATATTTACTTGCAAAATACAAAAAGTTTATGTTAAAGAGAAAAAGAAACAAATAAAGAAAGACAGCAATCTTTAAGTAGTAATATTATTAGAGAATGTGTATAGACTTTGTTATAAAAAAATATAAAATTTCTCTGAAACATCTGTTTTTGGATTGGCAAAAGAATCAGTAAAAAGAAATTAATTCTTTTTTTCCTTTGAATAATTGTTTTATTTATTGTTTGTATAATTATATCAAACATTATTAAAAATAATTAAAAGTTTCAAATAAATATTAAAAAAAAAGGATTTTCAATACATGTTTCAATCATTTATTTATAAAAAAAAAGTAATTTACAATCTTTAAAAATTATTAACACATATAAATTATTGTTTTTAATATTTATAAAAAAATTAACTAATAAAAAAATATCAAAATTCATCAAAAAATTAATTTATTTACCATTACCTAATGTTTAATTAATTAAACCTTCTACATTATAATTATTATTACTATTATTACTACTATCCAAATCTTCAAAAAAATCATTAATTTCCAAATTTATATAAATTTCATTATCAATAAACATTTGATTAGAAAGATCTACACAAACTTCTATTGCTAAAGCCTTCTTAATTCCTTTTTATTTATCAAATTTTCAGCTAATTAAGGTTCAATATCATCTTCATCATCCAATAAAATTGCTTCAAAGGAATCTTTTTTATTAATTTCTTGTAAATTTATCAAGTTTTGTGTTGTATAGATTACTTAATCTTGAATTTTATTACTTGATAATAAATTTTTATAATATTAAAGTTAATTTTTAGCATTTGATATATAATATAAATAAATTTTTGCCATCATAAAAATTCTATTAGAACTTAGCTTTGTTTTTCTTTGTCCATAGAACTATCTTAATACAAAAAATTTTTTTTACAATTGGTCAAATATGGTATAATATTAAGTAACTTAAGAACAATTTTTTGTAAATGTGTAGGTTTTTCAGAACAAATCATTCACCAAATTTTAAGAGTATCTTTTATAGTATTATAAGATAAATTATATAGAGATTTTTTAAACCAATATTTTTACATTTGAGAAATTAACACCAAAATTGCTTATTTATTATCTCCTATTTTTTTGAGTATATCACCAGCATAAAAATAATTTTTTCTAAAATAACTGTTATATAATCTGTAACCTTAAATATAAAATTCAATAACTTATTATAATATAAAGGATATAAAAA